CACCTTACCTTTTTCACATTAGCAATAGGACTTCAGATTCTCCACTCTGGGCCTCAAATCCCTATGCTGGCCAAGGTGTTCTTACTCTTTTCTCCTTAGGAAATACTTACAACTCTTCACTTCAAAGTCTCTCCCACCGCCCCCCAAAAGAAAAACCCTTCAGCACTTCAATGTTTGCAGCTTGATTTTTGTTTCTCTTTTCTTTGCATGTTTAACAATTGGTGGTTGTTTTGTGGTCACACCAGGTGATGCTGGGAGAACCAGGCTGTCTGCCCACGTTCCAGTAAGAGCTCCAGAACGACCTTCAGCTCTTTGAGCTCTCTCGGACCTTGTATGTGACCTGTTATTTTTCACCTATTTTATTTTTCTTCTTCGATGAATGGAATACAGTTTTTCATTAAAAAATATTTTAATGTAACCCATCAACTTTCCCATCATGCCCATCGGCTGTCCCGGTCCCAGTCCTTCCCCATTTCCTTCCCTGTCATTCATCACCCCATATCTCTCCTAGCACCATCTCTTCGCACCACCGCATTCCCAGCCTCTAGAAGAGCCGGTCCCAAACGCTATGGGAGTTGTGACCTACTGCGCATATCCCAGTCGGGATTCTCTCATGGCCCAGCCTCCAACGCCAGTTATAGCTTTGGTTTTTGTGTGAGATTCCGTTAAGATCGATGTTTGAAGAAGGCTGCAGACACCAGGCACCGTGGAAAACCCCCGAGAAGCCCCTGAAATTAATATATTTTGAGCTCCCAAGTCAGTAATGTCAGGATGCTGTGGTCTGAAAGACACATTGGCCACCTTGGGGAGTGTGCAAATCCAATAGTACAGTGGGTAGGGCATTTGCCTTGCATGCAGCCACCCAACCAGGGTTTGATCCCTCACATCCCATATGGTTCCCCAAGCACCACCAGGAGTAATTTCTGAGTGCAGAGCCAGGAGTAATCCCTGAGCATCACTGGGTGTGACCCAAAAAGAAAAAAGAAAAAAGAAAGGAGGAAGGAAGGAAGGAAGGAAGGAAGGAAGGAAGGAAGGAAGGAAATAAAGAAAGGAGGGAGGGAGGGACGGAGGAAATGTACAAGTATTTATTGTGGATGGATTTAAATGAACTTTTAACCAGTATTTTTGGGTAAGGTAGAGGGGGAGGGGGAAGCCAAGAGATGAAGAGAAAATTCAGGAGATTAAGTGCTTGTCAGGCTAAACGCTTCAAATCCCTGGCACAGTACCCTGAGCACTGCTTGTTATGGCCCAACCATCCCTCCTATCCCCCGATACTGAAAAACTCTGACTAGAGAGAAATGGCTCAATGAACTGAGTACATACTTTGCATTCAGATGACCTGAGTTCATCCAAGGCACTTCATGGTCCTCAGTACAACCAGGTGTGGCCCCCAAAGTACAAAATAGAAGTCAAAACATAATTCTTTTACATGATAAGTATGCTGTGCTATGGAGAATGTAAAAATGGGCTAAGTATAAAAACCTAGGGGTTTTTTTTTCAGTCTTTGAGACACAGCTAAATAGAAAACTCGGATCAGAAATGTGAAAATCCATTTGATTCAGTAGCACAACAGATTTACCATGGTTTCTCTTAGTCCATAATCTCCTTGACATTTCATGCTGTTTTGGGAATAACTCTATTTCTTACCAGAAAATTCTGTCCTTGACAGATTTGCAAGAGTCTGAGGGCCATGTCCATCTCCAGACCCTTAACGAATTCATGAAACTCTGAAGCATGAGGCATTGAGCAACTGAGCAGTCACCCCTTCACTACTGATCAACCTTTAGGTCATTGCACTGGGTGGGAAGAGAATGTCTGTTTGTACATTGGCAGATGTGAGTTTTGCCCCGGCCTCTACCCATTGAATGCCAGTAACTTTTTGTTTTGTTTGGTAGTGATCAGTCCTGGAACTACTTTGGGGAGACCATCTGTAGTATCAGGGATTGAACCCAGGTTGACTGCATGCAAGGCAAGCGCCTTACCCACTGTACTATCTCTTTGCCCCCAATAACAAACTTTTATCCCTTGCCAGTTGTAACACTGTAGCACTGTCTTCCCGTTGTTCACTCATTTGCTCAAGTGGGCACCAGTAACGTCTCCATTGTGAGACCTGTTGTTACTGTTTTTGGCATATCGAATACGCCACGGGGAGCCTGCCAGGCTCTGCCATGCGGGCGGGATACTCTCAGTAGCTTGCCAGGCTTTCCGAGAGGGACGAAGAAATCAAACCTGGGTCAGCTACGTGCAAGGCAAATGCTCTACCCACTGTGCTATCAATCCAGCCTAGTTGTATCAATCAAAAACACCTCCAAAGCTTGTCCGGTGTTCCCTCGGGTGCAACCTTTACCTATTTGCTCAAAGGACTGTTTTATTAGGAAGATGGTGTCCCATCCTACACTTCTGAGTCTGAATAACACCTTGCAGGAGCCAATGAATCCCCAGAGCCTGTTTATCTTCTTGTGATAATGTATTTCCTTGGCAAAAAAATAAAGCTTAAAAAAAAAACTAGCCCAGTGTGACTCCTGTTTAAATCAAAAAAGATTTCTGTTACTTTATTTACATCTAAAAATTGAATTAACAGTAATGAGGGAGTGAGAGAGGATGTACAAATGGGAAGATAACTAACAGGCAATTTAGGTTCATCAAATCAGAGTTTCACTCATTAAGTGGCATTAAATACCTGGCTACACTGAAATGCAGATTGGACAGATTCCCCTCCACCTGCCACAGTGATGATCTGAATTTAGCGGGATTATATAGTATAAACAAGGCATCTGTTCCCACAAGAGCTCATAATTCTAAATTGAAGGCAAGATTTCTATCAGTGTCTTCTTCCTGGTTTGGGCTGAATCCAGGAAATTGTCTCCGGTGGTGCTGATACAGTATTAAGGAAGAAGCAATGGGTAAAACTAGTTCACAGTAGTCCTCAACCCTATACTATACTTTTCCCCATGCAAATGGACTTATGATAAACTTTAATTCACAAATTAAATATAGTTAAGATTAATAATAATAGGGACTGAAGAGATAGTACAGTGGGTAAGGCACTGGCCTTTCACGTGGTAGACCCAGGTTTGATCCCTGGCATCCCATATGATCCCCTGAGCACTGCCAGAAGTGATTCCTGAGTGGAGAGCCAGGAGTAAACTAGGTATGGCCCCCCAAAACAAAAGATTAACAATAATAATAAAACAGAATTATAACATATTATGTTTGATTTTGGGGACCACTCCTGGTAGGGCTCAAGGGAACATGTGGTACCAGGGTCAGCTGAATGCAAAACAAGCACCTTAGCCTGTACTCTTAGCCCCATAACAATATACTATAATAACATAGAATTATAGCAATGTACAGCCATGCTGAGACCACTCTCCACACGCAAGGATGAGCCTCATGCATGAAGGAACCGGCAGAGGAACCCAGGTGTGCAGGACCCGGGGCTGAGATCTCCAAGCCTGATCGGTTTGGGACTGGGCCTCCTCCACCCAAATCCTCCATCTTCCAGTAGCTAGACAGTTACACCTTCCAACTGCCGTGTAATCTCATCAATGGCCAAGATCCAGAGACTATAAAACCAAGCTCCTGGAAGCGCGTGGCTGCATTTGCGGCCGTACAACCTCTTATTGTCTGGTTCTCACTGTCAGAGAACCAGGCAGGCTACCGAGAGTATCCTGCCCGCATATATGCCTGACTGGGAACTCCTGTAAAGGTGATTAGAGGCTGCCCCAAAAGCCTCCATCCCTCTCTGCGAGCCCAGCAAGCTACCGAGAATATCCTACCCGCACAGCAGAGCCTGGCAAGCTACCCATGGCATACTCGATATGCCAAAAACAGTAACAATGGTGGTTCTCATTCCCCTGACCCTGAAAGAGCCCCCAATATGCGATTAGGCTATACTAGTACATGACAGGGATGGAAATGATACTGGCACCCGCTCGAGCAAATCAATAATCAATGGGGTGATAGTGATAGTAATAGCAATGTTGTTCTATCTCTCAGGATAGCTTACTGTAAGCTTACAGTTCACCTGTGTATAACTGAAACCACACAAAGCAAAGCCATTCTAAGGGGAGTCCAGTCTCTGTAAATGCCTTATAAGTATTGATTTGAGTACTGGGACTCAAGAAATAAAATGGAAACACAGGAATGGGACCATGTACTTACACCTCATTAACATACCTTCTTTCATCTGGAAAGATGGTTTTCTCAAAGATCCGTTTAGTGATATCTATAGACACATTTTAAAAAATGGAATTCTCTGGGCTGGAGCAATAGCACAGCAGGTAGGGCGTTTGCCTTGCATGTGGCTGACCCGGGTTCAAGTCTCAGCATCCCATATGGTCCCCTGAGCACCGCCAGGAGTGATTCCTGAATTCAGAGCCAGGAGTGACCCCTGAGCATCACTGGGTGTGTGTGACCCCAAAGAGCAAAAAAAAAAAAAAAAGGAATCCATGGGCTGGAGAGAAAACATAGGAATTAAAGTATTTGCCTTACACATGGCCAACCCCAGTTTAATCCTTGGACCACAACTGGCCCCCGGAGCACCACCAGGAGTTACCCCAACACCCTCAATGGAATTTACTTAATTGTACTAAACTTTTAGAAGATTAAGAGAAAAGAATATCTATAAGTTACATAAAAGGTTGGAGCCGGAACAACAGTACAGCAAGTAGGATGTTTGCCTTGTACACAGTCGACCCAGGTTTGATCCCCACAAGCCCATACAGTTCCCCAGCACTGCCAGGAGTAATTCCTGAGTGCAGAGCCAGGAGTAACCCCTGAGCATTGCTGGGTATGTCCCCCACCAAAACAAAAGGTAACTGGAATGGGGGAACTGAAATTAATATTATTGATATGCTGGTATATGTGCCCCAGAATTGTCTATTGTGTAAATCTTATAAAGGAAGCTAGAAAAGTTGTTAACTAGTTTTAGCAATAAAGCTAGTTAATATAACTAATAAAGACCATCTCAAGAATATAGTCTTACTGAAGTTCCCAGTTTTCCCTTTTTCATTTATAAAAGCATGGGTTATAGAAATGTATTACATCACAATACATCATTATATCAAGAAATCAAACCTACTTAACATGATGGCAATAATTGAATATGCAAATGAGCTGTTTCCCAGTGAGCACAGAACAGAAGCAATTAAAAAATGTATACTTATACCAGCTGCTGAAAAAAATCAGTCTCCAATACAACAGCAATTTTCCAGCACAATCAAAAGATAATTATCATTGTTGATTACAAACTAGTATTTGCCAAAATACAGATTTTCACTAGTATGACTAATATATAGCCATTTTTAGGAAATCATATGTCACTGGGTGAATTACTACTTCAGACATGCAGGTAGACAATCTACCAGCACTCTACGAAGACAAATTGATGTCAGTGGCTATTAATCTGCTAAAGCTAATCTCAGATGTCCAGTACCATCTACGTTTTCATAATTTTACCAGTACCATACACTAAAGGGGACTTCTGGTATCTAAATTCCTCCTACAGTTCCCTGAGAAGTATTACATGTTTGCATTTCCAATATGAACTGGTACTATTATATTTGCCCACTTGTAAATCACAGGAACAAAGAGCCCAAGAGATCCTATAATTGAAACCAGAAGAAAGATCCACAGAAACATCCGATCAAGAACCTGGGCTATGAATTTCCAATCTTCAACAACCTGTCAGAAAAAAATAAATAAAACGTTAAATCCACAGACAATATGGAATTAATTTAAGACATAACACACCAAGCTTGTGGCCAAATAACTTGTGGCCCCGTGGGCTCAGGATGAGGAAATGAGCTGTCAGTGGCACTCCCCGCTCAAGGCAGGTGGTCCCCTGACTGCCTCCCCCTGAGAACTCCGGAGCTACAGTTCATTCCTGACCCAGCATTGGATAGATTTCACCATACGCTCGAAAATATTTCTAGAACCAGGGCACTAGCTGGACAAACTGAGTGCCTGTAGGAACCTGGTTAGATCCGTGGTGCTGCTTGATCCTCTGAGCACTGCTGGGAGTAACCCAAACCCGCCCTCCACCAGCACTGCTTGGGTGTGACACAAAAAAACAAAAATATATAGTACAGGGGCTTGAGTGATAGCACAGCGGGTTGAGCATTTGCCTTGCACGTGGCCAATCTGGGTCTGATTCCCAGCAACCCATATGGTCCCCTGTGCACTGCCAGGAGTAATTCCTGAGTGCAGAGCCAGGAGTAACCCCTGTGCATCGCTGAGTGTGACCCAAAAAGAAAAAATAAATAAATTTATATATATATATATAGTACATGGATCTTCTAACACCTAATAGCTCTGTTACTTCTTCCTAGTAGTCTTTTCTTATTTTAATGTTTTTGTGGGCATGCGTGTTTGCTTGCATCCTGTTTTGTGGGAATGAAACCCAGATCTCATGCATGCAGACATGCAGCATGTCCATCTTATTTAAATGATGAAAGACAAGGAACCTGAGGTTCATGGCAAAACCAGTGCTAGTTGAGGAGCCAGGGTAATAGTACAGCAGGTAGGACGTTTGCCTGGCACAGCTGGCGTAAGTTCGATCCCTGGTATCCCAGGTGGTCCTCTGAGCACCACCAGGAATAATTCCTGAGTGCAGAGCCAAGAGTAAGCCCTGAGCATCACTGGGTGTGGCCCCAAACAAACAAACAAATAAAAAAGCTAAGATGAGAATGTGGCAGAAGCAGAGATACCAGCCTTTGTGTAGGTGCCTGTTTCAGAGTTTTTAATAGAGCAAATGCTAGCCACACCTTTTATAAAGTGGTGTGTCCACCTCTCTGGCCCCCGGGTGTGTGTTCCTAGTGCTAAGGGCCATGCTATCTAGCATACTTAGCACGGAAGTGGCTAAGTATATTTGTAAGTGCCCACAGCACAGACCTCACGCACTTCATTCTCCTTCACCACATGTCTTGTGATGTAACGAATCGAATCCAGCGCCGCCTCCAATGTGTTCTGAGAAGCCGATGGGGCGCTGGGGCTTGCAGCCTCCTCCTCCTGAGTGAAATATCTATCTACGTGACTTCTCATGCACAGCAGCTTTGGAAGCTGGTGGAGAAATATCCGGCGGACCCAGGGCGCCATGGCACTGTGTGTCGAGGAGGAGCGATGATGGATGTTGATGGCAAAGACAGTCACCATAATTGACAGGGTCACAAAAATCATGGTGAATACTAGATACTCTCCAATCAGAGGGATTACTTTGGAAGAGGAGGGAATAATCTCTTCAATAACCAAAAGGAAGACGGTCAAGGAGACAAGGACGGAAGTGCAGAGAGAAATCTTTTCACCTTCATTGGAAGGAAGATAGAAGACAAGTACAGTTAAAAATGAGAGCCCGATACAGGGTATGATAAGAAACAAGGTATAAAAGAGAGGCAGGCGCTTGATCACAAACGAGTACGTGATATAAGGGTACCAGCAGCAGCTGTCACTTCTGTTCCCTTTGCTCCCGGTGGCACTCACTATTTCCCATTCTCCGTTATCAAAAAAATCTCTCTTGTCCACCTCGCGGTCCTCTAAAAGGATGTCGACCTGGGAGCCATCGTACGTCCACGAACCGAATTTCATGGAACAGTTCTGGAGGTCAAAGGGGAAAAACGTGACATCTATGGTGCAGGAGCTTTTGTAGTTTGCTGGTGGAGTCCAGGTGACGCTGCCATCATACCTGACGACTGTTTTCGTACTGGCCCCTTCGAAACGCCCATCTGCACTGGAACACATACAGACACACACAGACAATATGATGCGGAGAGGGCAGCACGCAGAGTCTATCCCAGAGCTGAAACGCTGAAAATGTCTGCATTTGATGTCACTGGAGAGAGAGTGCAGGGTTAGGTGCTTGCCTTGCCTGTGACCTAACCTGATTTGGATCCTTAGCATCAAATATGATGCCCTGAACACCGCTAGAAAGAGTTCCCCAGTTGTATCAGGGCTACTACTGCCTTCTCCACATTGTTTCAGTGTTCACCTACCTACTTCGGGGCAGTGTCTCCCACTTGGGAAAACACTGATGGTGTAGAATTCCATTCCAGGAAGCTGTATCTTGCTACCTGATTGCTCTGTTCACACCTTACACATGGACTAGGGTGAAGGTAAAGGGTTCAAGAGGAAAGATACTTTCGCTTAGCATTAGCTCTATCCTTACATCATAGGCCCTCTTGCAACCAAGATAACTGTACTTTAAGACAAGCACAAATTTCCAGATTTGTCCTGGAGTGATCCTAAGAAAAAAATTAATGAAACTGATATCCTGTCTCATCTCAAGTTAAAAACATCTTTAAAACACATTTGGGGGCTAAAGAGAGAGAGAGAGAGAGAGAGAGAGAGAGAGAGAGAGAGAATGCACAAAGGTTAAGGTATATGCCTTGCATGCAGCCTACTAGTATGTTGATCACAACATTGCTCACAGTTGCCATAATCTGGAATAAGTGCCCAATGACAGATGAAACTGCGGTGTATGTACACAATGGAATATTATTCTGCTCTGAGTAAAGATGAAATAGGGCCAGAGAGATAGTATAGTGGGTTAGGACTTTTGCCTTGCATGCTGTCAACCCAGGTTCAGTCCCTAGCACTGTGGTCCCCTGGACACCACCAGGAGTGATCGCTGAACACAGAGCCAGGAGAAAGCCCTGAGCACTGCTGAGTATGGCCCCCAAACAAACTCTCCCCCCAAAATATGAAATCAAACAATTTTCTGCAACTTGGTTGGAAAAGGAAGCTTGCATGCTAAGTGAAGTGAATCAGAGGAAAAAAGATAAATTCTGGATAATTTTGCTCATGTATGGAATATAATGATATAAATATAAAGGGATTTGACAGTGTCCAATGAAAACAAACCCTGAGATATTGTCAACAGAATATTGAATTGAGGCTACAAAGGGACATGAGAGAAGGGGTCTTGGGATAATGATGGGAGCTTAGTGACAGGTACTGGTATGAGGGTGGTGAAGTAGCATTACAAGCACAAAACAATAATATGAAGGCAGGTTACCTCTATACTGATAACAATCAAAATATCTCACACATTTAGCCTATAATTATGAGGTAGAGGCTGTGAGTTTGGTCAATTGGTAGAGCACATGCCTTGCATATATGAAGCCCTAGGTTGAGACCCCATATTTCATGTCACCTCACCTACCAGGGTCCCAAGCACTTCAAGGAGTGCCCCCCCAAAATTAACCCAACAGTTCTCATTGTAGAAAAGTTATGACACCGTGCAGATGCAAAATCAGAAGGCTGCACAGTTAAACATAAAGTATGACCTCAACTATTTTCAAAACATTAAAAAAACAACAACACCCAAACCATATGGGAGACTGGGAGAGAGTCTGCTAAACATATGAACAAGAAAATAAAGGTAAGTGAAACCAGGCACAGAGCTAACTGTGAGGAGGAGCCTCGGAGTGGCTGCCCTCTTTTAATTATAGGTAAGGCGCTCCCCAACCCCACACCTTCAATGTACCTTTCCAGGTGTCTCAAATGTTCTACACATTTTAGCAATCAAGGAACACTTTTATGACCAGAAAACAATATGCCCCCAAAAATGCAGAGCCAACCACACCTATTTGTAGAGCCCTAAAACAAAAGAACTTCCGACCAATGTTCAAATGGGAGAAAACGTACCAGTGCCTAATGGCGATACATATGTTCTCATTTGAAAGCAGAAAATGACATTTGGAAAGTAACTTACTTATCAAACAAAACAATGTCGGGGATCCAGAGGGAGTTGGAAGGGACACGTATAACTTTTATTCCACCATAGTCATCAGGGTTCCATCTTAATTTTACGTCTTTCCATTCCTTGAAAACAAATAAACCAGCCTCAATTTCAGTGACGTGAACAGTGAAAACAAACGCTCTTTGGGCAAACCCAGAAATTCTACAAATGAAATCAGCTCTCTACCCCCCACCCCCCCACACACACACCCCACTCACATTCTACAGGCACCAGAGGTGGGCCTGTCTCCCAGGCTGGCTCTAGCCCTGGTTCATGTGGGATACGGGTTAGGACCAGAGTTGGGCACATTTAGAACTCAGACCATCCCCTTTTCTCATGCTAACTCACTGTGTCCAGGGGCAGCAGCCCTGGCACCTAGAGACCAGATTTAAGGAGCACTATCTCATTCCTCGTGTTCTCAGTCATTGCTCAGCTCTGTGGGAACCGGATTTCTTACATATTCCACATATCTAAGCATGATGTCCGCCCTTCACACAGTAACAAGTCTATGATGTCAAGATTTGGTGTTCCAAGACTAAACTTTCAGGGATCCTCCTCTCTATAATTCGTTATTGGAGAAGTTTCTCTGATCACGTGGAGTGCCCCAAACCACAAGGAGGAGCCAGAGCTTTCTCTCCTGAGTGTGAGGTTGGTTCTAGGTGTTGTTTTTGCAACCGCCTTTTACCATAGATGCTCGTTCTCTTCTTCCTTTGGAAGAGTTTGAGGGAGAGGCTGTAGTCTGAGTGGTTTTGTGGGGAAAAAAAGATTTTAGAAAAAGGGAAAGACTTGGGGATGCAGTGATAGCACAGCGGGTAGAGCATTTGCCTTGCACGTGGCTGACCCGGGTTCGATTCCCAGCATCCCATATGGTCCCCCAAGCACCCCCAGTAGTAATTCCTGAGTGCAGAGTCAGGAGTAAACCCTGTGCATCGCCAGGTGTGGTAGGACTTGTGTTCCAAGAAAAGCATGCTTGCCTTTTAGAAGTTTGGGGTTTGGGAGCTGGTACAGGTATTAAATGTCAGGGATAATAAAGAACAAAGGAGGGGCAGAGAAAGAGAGTACAGGTAGAGCACTAACCTTGCACAGAGGTGCTGGGTTCTAGCCCCAGCATCATCTATGGTCCCCAAAGCACTGGATCACAGGGAGTGATCCCTGAGCACAGGGTCAGGAGTAAGCCCTGAGGACTGCTGAGTCAGGAGCAAAAAAAGTAAATAATATTTTTAAAAAAAGGGGGGGATGCTGGGAAGGTGTAATGGTGATGGACTTAGAGTCTGAATATTGAATGTAATCAAATATTGTGAACTGCCTGGACTATTCATTCGTCCAGACTAGTTTATCTCTCAATGTTTTCCTCAAATTTTATAATTTTTTTATAAAATAAAAGAAAAAAACAAAAACAAAGGGAGACACTTAACAGCAGGTGAAGACATGTATAATGGCCCGGGGTGGGGGAGGTACTTTACATAAAAGGAACTATAAATATAAAAATAATTTTCTTTACATACTTCCCCATTCCCATTTCACCCAGAGAAAATGCCAAAATCCTCACAGTGGCCTGACCTCCCGTTGCTTCCCTTCCATCCCTCCCCTTGGCCTACTCATCCCAGCAATATGAGCCGCCTTGGCGAGCTGAAACACAGGTCCCTTCAACCTCACGACCTTTGAACTTGCAGTTCCTGCTGCCTGGAATATTCACTCACCCAGACTAGTTTACCTCTCAATTTTTTCCTCAAATTTTATTGTTTATATTTTATTTATTTGTTTTGGTCTTGGAGACACACCAGACCATGCTCAGGTGTCATTTTTGAAGGGAGCCAGGAACCGTATGTAGTGCTAAAGATCAGTTCTAGACTGGCTGTGTGGAAGGCAAGTACCCTGCACATTATACTATCTGTACTACTTTTCCCTCTTTCAATTCCCCTCTCCTTTCCTCTTTATTGCTTTGTTCAAATTTTCTTCTTGTGATGCTTTCCCTGAGAATCCTATTTAAAAATACAACTCCCAACATGCCCTATCCGATCTCCCCGGATAATTTTCCTCCAAACTTAACAGTTTCTACAGATTTGATTCCCAGCATCCTGTATGGTCCCACTAGCGCCAACAGGAGTAATTCCTGAATGCAGAGCCAGAAGTAACCCCTGAGCATCACTGAATGTGCCCCCGCCAAAAAAAAAAAAAAAAAAAAACTACAGCACAAAACAAAAGATTATTCTTTGGGCTGGAAAGATAGTACAGTAGGGAGGTGCTTATCTTTCCATGCTGTTGATCCAGGTTTGATCCCCAGCATCTCATATAGTCCCTGATCCTGCCAGGAGTGATTCCTAAATGCAGAGCCACCAGTTACCTCTGAGCATCACCAACTGTGGCCCAAAAACAAATAAACAAAAAAAGAGTTTCTAAGGCACTATACAACTTACCTATTATTTCTCCCCACTGCAGTGAACTTTCTTTAGGGTGGGAAACTTTGTCTGTTTTGCTCACTGCCATTTCTCTAGTGACTGGTACATAGCAGGTTACACAAAGACTATTTACTGACTGATGGGCTGGATGATAATTCAAAGAGCTCATGTGCACCTTTTGCAGGCTAGAGGCCTGGGTTCAATCCTCCATATCACATGCTTCCCCAAGCACTGACAGGAATGACCCACAAAGTAGAAGAGGGAGTAGCTCCTGCACACTGCCAGGTGTGTCCCCCCCCCAAAAAAAGGAGGAGTGATAGTACAGTGAGTAGGACACTTGCTTGCATATGGCCAATCTGGGTCCAATCCCTGGCATCCCATATGGTCCTCTGAGCCCACCAGGAGTAATCCCTGAGCACAGAGCCAGGAGTAATTCCTGAGCATTGCCGGTGTGGCCCCAAAACAAAACAAAAATATCCAATAAGAGTATTTACTGGCTGCTTATAGGAACTCCATGTGCCCTCCTCTGTCTGCATCTTGTCAGTCCATAGAGACCTCATGTCCCCTTGTGCTACAATCTTGTATCAGCAGTGCCAGTCACCAGGTGGGTGGGCCTTGAATTTTACACATACCTGTTTCAACCAGACATTTGTTGTCATCAATTGATTTTTCTCATCCTATAAAATAAAAATATAAATAAGCCTTATTATTTCAACTACAGAAGCAAAACTTCTTTTGCATTTTTCTCAATTTCATATAGATTGTCCTTTTCATAATAGTACCTACACTCTACCCATCCATCTGACCTTCTCAAAAAACATGATTTTAGGGGGCCGGAGTGATAGTACAGCAGGGAGGGTGTTTGCCTTGCATGCAGCTGACCTGGGTTTGATCCCTGGCACCCCATATGATCCCCCAAATCCACTAAGAATAATTCCTGAGTGCAGAGCCAGGAGTAACCCCTGAGTACTGCTGGGTGTTTCCCCAAAACGAAAAAGAAAAAAAAAGAACTTGTCAAAATTCACACTACCAACTTATAGTAGAATAGTCTAGAACTCACTATCACTATCACTATCACCCCGTTGTTCATCAATTTACTCGAGCAGGTGCCAGTAACGTCTCCATTTGTCCCTGTCACGTGCTACTGTAGCCTGATGGCATATTGGGGGCTCTTTCAGGGTCAGGGGAATGAGGACCATCATTCTTACTGTTTTTGGCATATCAAATACCAAAAATGGGTAGCTTGCCAGGCTCTGTCGTGCAGGCGGGATACTCTCGGTAGCTTGCTGGGCTCTCTGAGAGGGATGGAGGCTTTTGGGGTAGCCTCTAATCACCTTTACAGGTGTTCCCTGTCAGGCACATATACAGGCAGGATACTCTCAGTAGCCTGCCAGGTTCTCTGAGAGTGACAACTAGAGAATAAGAGGTTGCATGGCCACAAATATGGCCATGTGCTTCCGGGAGCTTGGTTTTATAGTCTCTGGATCCTGGCCATTGATGGGGTTACACGGCAGTTGGTGGGTCTAGAACCCAAAACACCTTAATATAAACCCTGCTCTGGCAGCTCTTTCATCCACCTCCAAATCACACACCATTCATAAGAACTGTTGATCCCATATCTGAATATGGGAGGTAAAATATCTGAATATCTGTGAGGTAGAAATTCTGAGCATAGGCATTAATAGGAAAAGAGGCAAACATTACCTGTGATGCTACCTGGAAGAGGGTCACCTTTGAGAACGGAATGAAAATTACAGAAATTTTTCCCCCAGAAAAATATGAACACACACATATCTTGTTTTATGGGAGCAAAACAGAACCCAATTGAAAACTGTATCACGTGACACGGGTTAAAGAATCATCCATCCATTCACAGCTAATCCCAAAGATGTGAGCATCAGCCATTACTTTTGGGTACGGCCTAACTGAAGGTAAGCTCAAACATCTCTGGCAAACCTATAGTCCATGTAGCACAAAAGAGGAAGAAACAAATAAAATTGCATAAGGATAGACGTAGGATGGCCCTCAGGAGAGAGCCACAAGGAACCGGAGCACCGTTTGTCACAACAATGGGTTTTTTCAACCTGAATATTAAAAAAAAAAAAGACCAACAATACAAAATTCTCAAATGAGGGAAGAAGCCAAGGAAAGAAGGCTAAAATCTGAGGATACATGAAGATGGGTCAATACAAGACGCAGATGAAGGGAAAAGGCCTTAGGATAAAAAGACCAAAAAGCAGTTGTGAAACAATTCAGCGAACCTCTGCTCAGGGTCCAGGACTCATGGCTCAACTCCCTGACTCCAGCCCTCTCTGCTGGCAGAGTCACTGACATATTCTATTTCTGTACTCTCCTCTCGACCCAGTGCTCTGCATGGCTGACCCTTGCTGCTACCACTTTCCATAACTATTTCTCAAGGATGGGGCTCCTGCTTACTTTTTAAAAATTCATCAATTCAAAGTTGTTAACTCCCAGCCTCGAACCAGTGATTCCATAGGCTGATAGACACTTTGGCCTGGCCACTCCCGGCCAGCTTGGCCTTCCCATGGCCTCAGAAGCTTTTGCTTTTGATAGCACCACCATCACCTCTTATCACAATGGGATGCTTCTTTTTTCTCTGACTGGCCCCTATGACACCAATTTTTATCTTGTTGTGTTTTGTTCCTCTTTCCCATCGCCAAGGTGCGAAAGTTCAACACCACCCCACTACTTGGTCAACCCCGTGACTCTGACAGGGCCGTCTAAGTTGCCTCTCCAGTGTCTATTCTCTGATTCCTCACAAGCATGAATTTATTGATGTTATTGTGCTTCCTACATGTTCTTCCCTCAGCACTTACTCTGTGCCAGACAATGCCCTCTGCTGGGTGACGGGCAAACAGACAGACAGAACAAGCTCACCCCAATCTCAGGATGTCAGCCCAGAGCACATGGAAACCAATCAGGGCGCAAGGGATACAACATTAAAAAGCTCAAGGTCCGGGCTGGAGTAATAACACAGTGGGGATCGAACGTTTCCAGGTTCGATTCCCAGCATCTCATATGGTCCCCTGAGCACCACCAGGAGTGATTCCTGAGTGCAGAGCCAGAAGTAACCCCTGAGCATCGCCGGGTGTGACCCAAAAAAGAAAAAAAAAGTTCAAGGTCTGGGGCCGCAGTGATAGTACAACAGTAAGGTGCTAGCCTTGCACATGGCTGAGCTGAGTTCAATCCTTGGGATCCCATATTGTCCCCTGAGCACCACCAGAAGCAATTCCTGAGCATAGAGCCAGGAATAATTCCTGAGAATTGCTAGGTGTGGCCCCAAAACAAAGCAAACTTTTAAAAAGTGCAAGGGCTATGAGAACAGATGAGTGAGGCTGCTTTAGGAAGTTGAAAGGTTCTACACAGGGTCTGACAGGGTTGACTTCCCTCCACCAATGTCCCCAGGTTCTGTTCTACCCCTTTAAGTGTATTTCTTAACACATATTATATGTAATGATATGCACACCTACCACATCCACCAACTGAGATATTGCAAGACCAAACTTTATTTTAATTTTATCACTCAGGTGTTCCACAGGACGAACCCATTTTTCATAGTCTTGAAATAAATCCTTAAACAAATTATCTTCATGTTTTGCAATAGAGGATGGTTCAGCTAATCCTGTGAAGTTAAAAAAAAAATTAACTTAGTGCACTGACTTCTTTCCCATCAAGCACTTATGTTTTAATTAAAAAGTCATCATTATTAATGAATCAAACTATTATTTAAATTAATGCAATTTGGGGGGGCCAGAGTGATAGTACAGCAGATAGGGCGTTTGCCTTGCACACAGCTGACCCAGATTCGATCCTTTGCATTCCATCTGGTCCTTCAAGCACTGCCAGGAGTAATTCTGAAGCACAGAGCCAGGAGGAACCTCTGAGTATTGCCAGGTGTGACCCAAAAAACAAAAAATAAAATAAATTAATATACAGTTTTTAAAATGATAAGCTGGAGAGATAATATAGAGGGCAAGGTGCTTGCCTTGCATGCACCCAACCTAAATTCAATCCCCAACACCACATATGGTCCCCAAGTCCCATCAGGAGTTTTCCTGGAGCACAGAGCCAAAAATAAGCCCCAAGCATAGTCAGGTGTGGCCCAAAAAATGAACAAAAAACAAACAAAAACAGATAAAAATGAATGCAAATCAAATATTTTTGTGATTAATACTTGTGATCAGCTGATCAGCTTGTTCATAATTTAGTTTAATCAAATTGCTCACTGTGGAAATATATTGAGAGCCTTAAGAATCACACAATACTTAGTACAGAGTAATTATTATTATTATTAATTTTTGCTTTTTGGGTCATACCCAGCGATGCACAGGGGTCTCTCCTGGCTCTACACTCAGGAATTACCCCTGGCGGTGCTCAAGGGACCATATGGGATGCTGGGAATCAAACCCAGTCGGCTGTGTGCAAGGCAAATGCCCTACCCGCTGTGCTATCGCTCCAGCCCCAGTACAGAGTAATTTTAAATCTACTTAATAACTTTAAATTTCTAAGTCTAGGCAGATTGTTTGTCATAAAATCCCAAACCAAGAAAAAAGACATATTAAAGTTCATTTACCAACCACATTGTCACGTTTTAATTGCCATGATTATAGTATACATGTAAGTATTGAATAAATTATTCATATTTTTCTTACTTTTATTTGCTATGCATTTATATAAAACAACCTCAGGACCTGATATTATAATCAAATAAGACAAAGACAAAAATATTGATAGTTTCAACTACCAACTAATAATTAAAGACCAGTCAAATTGATGAATCAATGTTTCAGTTATTTGTCTACTCAGCTCCGTTAGAAAAATCTCTTGAATAACTGAAAATTTCCAGTATTGTATGGACTAAAGCTTCGGTAAAGGAAATGTGAAATGTGTGAAATACAAGCATGACATTTACTCCAGACTTATGATTAAAAAAGAACTACTCAAAACAAAATATCACAGTCTCATCATAAAATATTTAGATGAATCATACCTAGTGAGGCTCCTCCAACCCTAAGAACTATTATAAAGAATAAACAATTTCTGATAGAAAATTTGACTTTTAGGGCTGGAACAACAGTACAGCAGGTAGGACACTTGCCTTGCACAAGACCAACCCAGGTTTGATCCCTGGTATCCCATATAGTACCCTGAGCACCACCAGGAGTGAATCTTGAGCGCAGAGTCAAGAATAAGCATCACTGGCATGGCCCCAAAACCAAAAAAAGAAAAAAATTATTTTTAAATTATACTTTTACAAAGCAACCTTATTTTATTAAAAAAATGCCAGGCTATTTCAGATATGGAGCCATTCAAAAAAGCCTGACTATTTTCGCTGAGGAAATTCATCCCCTGGGTTTTCTTTCAGAGCCTATTTCTTCATTAATAGATTAGCTGTGTATCTTATTTCCCTGAGCAATTTCTTACACTTAATTTAATCTGTAAATGCCATAGAGTTTGTTAAGCCTCCCATAAAAATCTCCTTTCACGGAAATGCACAGTGCAGCAAATAATTCAGTCAGAATATTATACACTGGAGAGTCATTTGTTTTAATGTTTAAAACCCATTAATTTAAAGTTTCACATTGAAATATCATTACTGAGTCATTTCTTCTCTTCTAATCTTATTTGATTTTTTGTAGTATTTGAAATTCCAAAAATTTAAAACCTGTTCAAAAAATAACAAGTAAATGCTTTTTTCCTGGTTTTGGGGGCCACATCTGGCAGAGCTTAGGGGTTACTACTGATACTGCACTCAGGAATCACTTCTGACAGTGCTTGGGAGACCAAATAAGATGCCGTAGATTGAACATGGGTTGGCTGCATGCAAGGCAAGTAACCTACTCTGTGTGCTATCACTTCAGCCCCCAAGTAAATGCTTTTAATAGCAGCTAAGAACTTTGTGTGGAGTAATACTAATTTGTACTACCTCAAATCTTGTCTAAAATAAAGTAGATGGGATACATACAAATAAAATAAAGAAATAAATCCCAGTATGTACCTAATGGGTTGGAGCAATAGCACAGCGGGTAGGGCATTTGCCTTGTACACAGCCAACTCGGCCGACCCAGGTTCAATTCCTCCACCCCTCTCGGAGAGTCCGGCAAGCTACCGAGATTATCTCGCTCGCACGGCAAAGCCTGGCAAGCTACCCGTGATGTATTCGATATGCCAAACACAGTAACAATGATCACAATGGAGACGTTCCTGGGCCCACTAGAGCAAATCAATGAACAAACGGGAAGACAGTTCTACAGTGCTATGTACCTAATGAGAACCTTTAAGATACTGCTGTCTTGTGAGTATCTTTTTAATCAATGGATACTGATTAGGTTACTGGGTTTTAAAAAAAATCGTTGCTGGGGCTGGAGCGATAGCACAGTGGGTAGGGTGTTTGCCTTGCACACAGCCGACCCAGGTTCGATTCCCAGCATCCCATAGGGTCCCCGGAGCACTGCCAGGAGTAATTCCTGAGTGCATGAGCCAGGAATAACTCCTGTGCATCGCCGGGTGTGACCCAAAAAGCGAAAAAAAAATCGTTGCTTTGCCTGACCATCTGCTTGCTGCTCCATCATCCCAGGTGAGGCTTGCCTCCAGCTCACTGGATCTATTCCAGAGACAGCCAGAACCCTTCCCTATCAGGTGGGGCCCGGCAGCTTCCACACCTGACCCAACCCATAGTAAGGGCCCAAACACAGCTCCTGAAGCTGACAGATCTACTCAACAAATTACATGCTGCTCACAATTATTCTTCCTGTCATTCTGTGAGCACAGGCAGAGAAGATGGAGAGCAACCTCCAGCTTAATCCCTCAGTATCTTCCAGGGAGGTTGACTACAAAGATTCACCCCTAGCACAGCAAGAATAGTAGAAAACCAATGCGGGAAACATGCAGAAGCCCACCAAGCTCAATGAGTGAAAACAGCAACATCGAAGACATAAACAGCACCAGAAAATCCTCAGGCAGTGTCTTCAGTGACACTATGATCAGGATATTCAATGAGCCCAAAGAAAAGATAGCACTGGTAGTCAACAAAGCACAAGAAAGTATGAGCATAGAAAGGAAAAAAATACAACAGTCAGAAATGACAAAAATAAAGAACATGGTAGGCGATATTAAAAAGTCAATAGGAGCAGCAGAATAGCAGGCGCTGAGCAAAAGACTGAGGAGTTCCAAGATGAGTAGAAAACAACGGGAGGTGGAAAATAGCCTGAAAAGAAAGAACAACATACCAGAGAACTATGGAATGAGTTTAAGAGAAATGATACAAGAATCATCAGTCTCAGAAGAACAGGAAGACAAATATGATGAAAATCATTAGTTAAAGAAAATATTGAGGGGCTGGAGTGATAGCACAGAGGGTAGGGCATTTGCCTGGCATGCAGCCGACCCAGGTTCGGTTCCTGGCATCCCACATAGTCCCCCAAGCACTGTAAGGAGTGATTCCTGAGTGCAGAACCAGGAGTAACTCCTGTGTATAGCCGGTGTGACCCAAAAAGAAAAAAATATTGAGGGTTCAGAGGGATAGCACAGTAGATAGGGCACTTGCCTTGCATGCAGCTGACCTGGGTTCAATCCACAGCATCTCATATGGTCCCCATAGCATCACCAGGAGTAATTCCTGAGCATAGAGTGAGGAGTAACTCACTGCATTGCTAGGTGTGACCCCAAAAAAACAAACAAAAAAATCATTGATAAGAACTTCCCAGAGTTGAGGATTACAGGCATCAAGATCCAAGAGGCTTAAAGATGTCCAGTGAAAATAGACACAATCAGGAAAACTCCAAGACACATTATACTCAAAATGACAAAATTCAAAGATAGAGACATAATACTGAATACAGCAAGAACAAAAAAAAAAAACAAAAAAAGAACATATACAAAGAAAAGCCCATTAGATGTAAAGCTGATCTGTCTAATGAGAATCTACGAGTCAGAAGAATATGGAAGGATACAGTCCAAAAACTCAATGGAATGAACACCTCACCAAGAATACTCTATCCAGCTAGATTATCATTCTGATTTAAAGGAATAATACAGAGCTTCATGGGCAAGCAACAGTACTTAGGGAATTCATAGCCTTGAAATCAGAGCGTTAAAAGAGCTTCTCAAGAGGAAAGGAGAGACTTCCCAACATGTAGCACTGAGTAGGGCACTCACTAATGGTGCATATGATTGTCCTCTACTAGATTAAGAAAGGTTAAAAACAATCATTACAAATTGGCTTTCATTGATTTATCTTCTGATAATTCTATTTGCCATTCCTTTAAGCTTTATTGAACCAAGTAATATAAAATAAATTTGTTATATGTCTACCAAGTTGGTAGATTGAGTGTGGGAGGGAATCCGGGGACTTTGGTGATGGGATTGGTGTTGGAATGTTGTAGCCCTAAAACAACTCTATTATAAACAACTTTGTAAATCACGGTGTCTCAATAAACATTCCTGAAAAAATCATTTATTTGTAATATAAATCATTCTAAATATAACAGATATCAGTCCTTATCAGATATATATTTGCAAATTTTTTACTTCTTTTTTTTGGGGGGGGGGGTCACACCCGGCAATGCACAGGTGTTACTCCTGGCTCTGCACTCAGGAATTACTTCTGGTGGTGCACAGGTG